ATATATATATATTTATGTATATATATATACATAAATATATATATATATATATCAGAAACTTTGTTATGTAGTGCTGGCTTAGCTTGATTACATAGTCCCATGCACCTAGCAGTCTTCGGATAAAGCACAAAATAAACAGATAGATGAGTATAATTTAGCTATGGCCGGCTGTAGCAGTGTGTAGAGCCATGTAATGTGGATTTGAAAGCAATGAGATAACGAAAACATTAATTTGAACTTCTTTAACTTTTGAAAAAAACAAAGAATCATTTGCGCGAAAAAGTCGATCAACGATGACGACAAAACAATTTTCTGGTCTCTCGGTCAAAAAGTATGAAAAGAGGCCACAGCACAGCTTAGATATTGTGAGAAGAAAATTGTAAATTTAGTAAGAAAGGCTGAGGAGAAACATGAGAGCTAAGAGAGAACCATAGTAAGATAAGTCTTCGAAATTATCTACAATAACCTCTGTTTAGTCAAACGTGGGCGAAGACCAAATTTCATCCCTTCTGTGGTCTTTTCTCATTATTCTGTACAATTGCGTATTAGTAGTAAAGAATACAAGTTATCTTCAGACACTGTGGAATGGTAAGCTCCAAGTTTCGCTCTCAAAATGTAGAAGCTCAAAGAAAGATTCGTTGCATTGCCATTTCATGAAACATGAATCAGTGCTGAGTTTGAGAAAAGTGGTTAGAAATTCGTTTAATCTCTAGCTAAAAGTACATGAATTTGCAGTTGCAATGATTTATAATGTTTAATGAAACTATTTCACAATGAGTATTATGCTTTGGCACGTAAGCTAGATTTCAAACACTAGAAATACCTGCAATGTTTACGACGTACACGTTAGATCACATGTTTCAGATGAGCGGTAAGGGATGATGAAGATGTGAATGCTCATATGATGGTGCAAGTTCTCTTGAATTAGAATAAATTCGCAAACAATTTGGTAGTGTGGGGGGACATTAACATCTACCTATCAATTTCACAATGTTTTAGAATTACAGAAAACGTCCAATTTGACAGCAAAGATACATAGATATAACATACACTTAGAGAAACAGTACAAATTATAGAAAACCTCCTTATCGATTACTACTTGAATAGTTGTCCATGATTATTATGCCGTTATCGATGGGATTTGGCGAT